AGATCCAAATCCAAATGATGGAAAAAGTGAAATGACAAAAGTGCCTATTGCTTAAGTATAGTTACCTCCCACATGATTGTCCAAGTCAAGGAAAAAAAAAGAGGGGGAGTGGGAGTTAGGAATAGGGCTAATGGTCCCCTATGGGCACCATTAGTAGGTGGAGTTCTTGAAATTTTTGGGTTGAAGGTTAAGTTTGTTGGTTTTTTGTTTCTGATTAGTTTACTAGGTAAGTGTTTGGTATACTATCTTTTGTCTATATTGCCCTTCATTTTGTTTATTTTTGACTATCTTACCTTGTTGGTCTTTAATACCCTCGTACTTGCATTGGAGATTGTTATGTAGGATTCATTTTGTAGTCTTTTTCTCTTGTTGAAATCTAACAATATTGAACATTCAAATTTTCAAGCATCATTTCCAGTACAAATTCATGCTGTGCTAAGTGCGGTGTTAGCGGTAGTTAGCGGTGATGTGCTATGTGCTGGTAGTGCATGTACTTTGAGCATTGGATTGAAGTTAAACCTAATCAGATTGTTAAAGTGATCAATATATAAACTAATCTGGTTGGAATTGTAGTTACATAAATGTCAGTGGAGACAAATATATATGTTCACAGTGAGACCTTCAAGAGATTATCTTAACATTTGGTTTGAAATTGCAATTTACAAATAGGGTCAGCCATTGGTTAGTTTAATTTTCATTTGTTTTTATGCTTCTTAATATACTATATTTGTGGAATTTTGATAGGGTATAATTTGTTAGTAAATTTATTATTGATTTCCCCTTCTATCCCTGACAAATATTGTGTTAATTGCTGATATTTACTCATATTTGGTATTTGAATCAATTTCAGGAGTGAAGCAGAAAATTACCAAAAAGGAGGGACTTGTATGGAAAAATGCAGACTTCTAAGGGCTTCAACCTTTGGGTCCTTGAATTGGTGGGGACCACAAGCTAGTGCAAGGCATTTAGTCATTTGGGCTTTTCAAAGAAAGCAACGTAGAGAGATTTGGAACACACAAGTACTTTGGAGGCTTTGTCCACATGTGCGGGGACCACGGATAAGAAGCATGAGTCATTTGGACTCTAGGAAAAGAAACGTACAAGACTTTGAATTTGGTGTGGGGACCACTAGAGATAGCATTAGACTTCCTTTTGGCTTTAAAAAGGGGGAAACGTACAGAGAACTGGGAGGAATCGATAGTTTTAGTTTTTCTTTTCTTAGCTTTTTCGCATGGTTGTTCTCCATTAATGGAGGACTAACCTCTTAATTCTAGTCAAGGGGACAACTGCAGACTTGGCTCAACAATTACTGTGAGATCTAATTTATTTTAATTGTTTCCTTAATTTATTGGTATTTATATGTTTCCTGCTTTTAATTGCTATAGCTCGTGTGAGTGATTGAATAGACGCGCAATATTTAATTATTCACATAGGCTATTTTGCTAAATAGGGATAATTGAATCCGTAATTGTTCGTTATCTTTATCTCAGTAGCAACTGGCGTAATTGGGATTTACGTAGAAAGACAAGAAAACACGCACACGACTGTTGAGTGACCCCTTTCCCCCTTCTTCTTCAAAGTCAAGAAAACCCAAATTTTCGTTCTAATTTGGAAAACCCAGAAAATCCCTAATCCTACTTTTCATTTTCCTTCTTGTTTTAGGGATGAATCTCCGTTCTCGAGCTTCAAAAGGTACCGTTCCAAGAACCCTGCTGTTTATTGGTTGCTGACTTGCTGTTTGTCTTTCTTTATTTCCTTATCTACTACTCTTTGCTTGATCATTTGGTTCATTAAAATCGAAATGGGATGTCTTTTTTTAGCTTTCATATTTCTGGGTTTTTTTGAGGAAATAGATTTATAGATGCTATTGTTGTTTTTGAATTCTTCTTCAAAAGACGTGTCCTTTTTTTTTTCTGGGCTGAATTTTGATTATGATGTGGATGCAGGAAAAGATATTATTCAATATATAGAGAGCTCTGATGATGATGAACAAGGCCGTACAGATTCTTCGGATTCTGACATTTATATAATAAGTGGTTGTGAAGGTACAAATATGCACACACAGATAGTTTATATTACTTCAATAAATATTGATTTTTGCAAATATGAATGCCAGGATGAAAGATTTATTGATTTGTCTCTTTTGGATTGTTTAATTATATTTAATATTAATTCGACTAAATATATAATGACGAAGGCCAAGCACAAGGACCTCTAGTTTTTGCCCTTTTGATACTTTGGCCAATTTTGTAGTGGAATGCACACGGTTGTAATGAGAAACATGGAGTACATTTTTTTTTTTGCCTATTTTCCTGTTTGAAAGTTTAATTATGTTAATAATCACTACTGTAGTAATGCATGTAAAAGCTAATGCTTTGGTGTCATGAAACTGTGAGTTTTACTATGGAAAAATTTGGTAATTGGTAAGTAATTTGTCCGATAATAACTGAGATGGTGAGTTAGATTAACTCTTAAAATGTCGGAGGTACATTACATTGTGGGGATTTTGCACGCGCATGTCTTTGTATCTCTGTGTGTGTGTATAGGGTTGTAAACTTTGGCGGTTTCTTAGTAGGCACCACATTGCTTTTCTTGATATTGGTTCTTGACATGCAGCCAAACCAAATACTTTTGAAGATATAAGCTAGTTTTGGAAATTGGAGATGATTCCAATTACCCACTGGACATTTCATGTTTTGAAAATATGTAGATCATTGGGTGTATTTTTGTTTAGAAATTGATAGAATTATTTTGTATCAGGAGTAAATGCTCATGTGAATTCGGAAATCTGAATGCTACAGGAAACCTAGTTGCATTCCATGTAAACCTGGTTTATGTATATTTTGAGTTCACTTGGTTGCATGGCATTTTATTGACTTGGGTTGCATTCCACGTATATCTTGTTTATGTATTTTATGGTACCAGCTCAACTCCAGAGTAAACACACTTAGTAATATTGTCTTTCAACCAATAAACACACTTATTGGTTCTTGCTAACAACCAAAGTCTCTTTCTTTTTTGAGTAAAATATTTTATCTATGTTTATATGTTCCTGGCAGAGGTAGCGGTGTGGATGAATGAATTGGACTGTACTAAATTGTTAGTTTTTTTGTGCTTGGGCAGCCAGGTTGGTACTTGCACTAGGTGCTTAGGCAAAGCTTGAATCTGTGCCTGGTGCTGCAGAGTATGCATTGCCATTTTCTACTCTTGAAGATGCTCGCGTTAGTATATGTACTACTGAGCATTAGTTATTCAGTAATTACTTCAAACAGTAATGCAGCATGTAAATTAGAATAATTGGTATTGTCTTGGTCTTCTTGAAATTCAGATGGTTGATGAAAAACTTAGAGCATTAGAGCGCCAGAACTTTGGTAAGGACTCTCAAATACGTGTAGCTGTTGTGGGATGTGGTTACTCTGGAGTTGAGCCAAAGTCCCCAGGCTCCCCGAACGTATTGGCTATTTGAGAGTCCAAGTTCTTATTTGATATTTACTCTCAAATACGTTTATTGGAATGATTTTTTCTTTTAAAAAAAACAAAAAAAAGATCAAATGATGAAAACTTTCAATATTAAATGCCAAACGTCATGCTTGTCAGTGCATTAACCATCAACAAATAAAATTTTATAAACATTAGGATGGATCAAGTGGTGAAGAAGTGAAGATTGAGATAATCGAATAATTAGTGGTAAACTTGAGTTTCAACTTAGCAAAAACACTAGCTGAAACATGTATAATGGCATTTCCGGTCAATATCAAAATCATATGTCAAGAATACCTAAAAGACACTACAAGGACTTGAGGCGATTTACATGCATGCAAGAGAATCGAAGTCCAGCAAGAAATTTGTTGTATTATTCACCATGTGGGAATGTATATGCAATTGTTTTAGAAATTTGTCTTGTCCAAATATTCTATTTATGGGAACAAGAAAGCTAATTTTTGGACTTTGATTTACAAATAGAAAGGGCAAATATGTAAAGTTATATTCTCATAAAATCCTTTCTTTCCATATCTCTCCAACTCTCAAATAAAAGAAAGATATTTTTTTTCTTTTCTTTCATTAAACTCCCAAACGAAATATGCATCTTTTCCCTTCTCTTCCTTTCTTTCCTAAGCTATCTTTTCTTTTCTCTTCCTTCATAAACTCCCAAACTAAGCCGAAAACACGCACACGACTGTTGAGTGACCCCTTTCCCCCTTCTTCTTCAAAGTCAAGAAAACCCAAATTTTCGTTCTAATTTGGAAAACCCAGAAAATCCCTAATCCTACTTTTCATTTTCCTTCTTGTTTTAGGGATGAATCTCCGTTCTCGAGCTTCAAAAGGTACCGTTCCAAGAACCCTGCTGTTTATTGGTTGCTGACTTGCTGTTTGTCTTTCTTTATTTCCTTATCTACTACTCTTTGCTTGATCATTTGGTTCATTAAAATCGAAATGGGATTCTTTTTTTTAGCTTTCATATTTCTGGGTTTTTTGAGGAAATAGATTTATAGATGCTTATTGTTGTTTTTTGAATTCTTCTTCAAAGGACGTGTCCTTTTTTTTTCTGGGCTGAATTTTGATTATGATGTGGATGCAGGAAAAGATATTGTTCAATATATAGAGAGCTCTGATGATGATGAACAAGGCCGTACAGATTCTTCGGATTCTGACATTTATATAATAAGTGATTGTGAAGGTACAAATATGCACACAGATAGTTTATATTACTTCAATAAATATTGTATTTTTGCAAATATGAATGCCAGGATGAAAGATTTATTGATTTGTCTCTTTTGGATTGTTTAATTATATTTAATATTAATTCGACTAAATAGATAATGACGAAGGCCAAGCACAAGGACCTCTAGTTTTTGCCCTTTTGATACTTTGGCCAATTTTGTAGTGGAATGCAAACGGTTGTAATGAGAAACATGGAGTACATTTTTTTTTTTTGCCTATTTTCCTGTTTGAAAGTTTAATGATATTAATAATCACTGCTGTAGTAATGCATGTAAAAGCTAATGCTTTGGTGTCATGAAACTGTGGTAGTAGGGGAAAGGAAGGGCGAGGGTTAGGTGGAGTTGGAGGAGGTTTGGAGGTGGTGGAGGTGGAGGATTTAGTGGTGGTGCAGGAAAAGGTGGAGGGTTTGGAGCAGGAGGTGGTGTTGGTGTTGGTGTTGGTGGTGGTGCCAGGGGTGGAGTAGGTGGTGGTGCAGGTGGCGGAGGAGGATTCAGAGGCGGTGAAGGTGGAGGAGTTGGTGGTGCTGCTGGAAAAAATGGAGGGTTTGGAGCCGGAGGTGGTGTTGGTGGTGGTGCAGGGGTGGAGTAGGTGGTGGAGGAGGTTTTGGAGGTGGTAAAGGTGGAGGATTTGGTGGTGGTGCTGGAAAGGGTGGTGGGTTTGGAGCAGGAGGTGGTGTTGGTGGAGCTGCAGGTGGCGGAGGAGGTTTTGGAGGCGGTAAAGGTGGAGGAATTGGTGGTGGTGCTGGAAAACGTGGAGGGTTTGGAGCTGGAGGTGGTGTTGGTGGTGGTGCAGGGAGTGGAGTAGGTGGTGGTGCAAGGGGTGGAGGAGGTTTTGGAGGCGGTGAAGGTGGAGGAGTTGGTGGTGGTGTTGGAAAAGGTGGAGGGTTTGGAGCCGGAGGCGGTGTTGTGGTGGTGCAGGGATGGAGAAGGTTTTGGAGGTGGTAAAGGTGGAGGAGTTGGTAGTGGTGCTGGAAAGGGTGGTGGGTTCGGAGCAGGAGGTGGTGTTGGTAGAGGTGCAGGTGGCGGAGTTGGTGGAGAAGGGTTTGGCAGTGGTGGAGGTGGTGGTGTTGGCGGTGGGTCAGGTCATGGTGGTGGACTTGGAGTAGGAGGAGGAGTAGGTGGAGGCATTGGTGGAGGTGCAGGAGGCGGTGGCGGCGGCGGCGGCGGTGGCGGTGGCGGTGGCGGTGGTGGTGGTGAAGGAGGTGGTGTCAGTGGCGGTTTTTGCCATGGTGGAGGTTTTGGAGCAGGTGGTGGAGTAGGAGGTGGCATTGGAGGTGGAGCTGGAGGAGGTTCTGGACATGGTGGTGGATTTGGTGCTGGAGGAGGTGTAGGAGGTGGAGCAGGTGGAGGAGTTGGAGGCGGTGGAGGATTCGGAGGAGGAGGTGGTGGTGGTGGAAACTAAAACATGTCTACTGGGATTAGTTCAACCTTGGTCCTTTGTTTTCTTGAACGTATGTATTACCACCACCCTAGTCTATGGTTCGGTGGAGCTCGTTGATTTCCTTTAATATGGAAATTTTGGATAAAAGGACGTAGGTCCTGTTCGAGAAACAATTAATGCATGATTTACATGCCCTACTAAACGTTTCCTTGTTTCCTTTTTATGCAAGATCTGATACTAGTCTTCTAGTCTTCTTCTTCTTCTTCTTCTTTTGAAACATCCATTCTGGTTAAGGCGAAAAGTTTTCACAATTACTGAAGTTAGAATAAACTGAAATAGTAATATAGTTTGAATAATATCATATTAATATGTTCCCAGAATTATTAATTCTCATGGCTTATTGAAAGACAAATATATTAAGCAAGACAAAAGCTAGTTTACCAATTGGTGTAGACACTTCTATGGGTAGTATTTGATAGTATTTGATCTCCAAAAGCCAATTGTATATCCTTTGGAGTCAAAAGCTGATGCTGCTCACTGATTTCCCAGAATGGAATTTGACAAATACTGAGCGAATTCGATCTTTAACATATTTTAGCTTGCAAAAAAATCCTTCTTACAGAAAAATTTACTGACAAACCAAAAAGATGTGAAACTACTGAAAAATTTAGACCTCATTTGGTTCTTCAAAATTATACCTGCTTATTCCAGTCTTTTGTTTAATGGATTTCACTGCTTGCTGATTTTGTCTCTAGGGCGCTTATTCCTTCTTTTTACAAAACTAAACTGTTCTTTTTTTTTTTTTTCCTTTTGGTCTTAACCAGGTTCTATGGCCCATTAATAAATTGTTACTATTAGCTCTATGAGGCTCAATTCTAAAGTACATGCGAAATATTTGAACCAAATTATGGAACTCGAAAAGAATGAATTCTATGCATTTTGCTAAAGACAATTGTTAAGAAAATTTTGATCACAACTTGCAAGATTTCAGTTCTGATTCCAATTGAAATGAAGAAACAGCCTAAAACATTATTTCCATGGGTGCAAGCAATTATTTGAGTTGACAATGGCATTCCTATATTGGCAAACATGGGACATTGAATGTAGATGGATTTGATTGCCACTACAAGTGGGTTCAATTGACAAGGATAAGTCACTTCTTCACAAAAGGTTGTATGTTTGAATTCGACTGTCGATGTGAGAGTTGTATTGATGAGCGGTACGTAAGAATTTCTATAAATGACTTATGATCCCGTAAACATGTGTTGGCGAGCGACTGTAAGAGTCTTTATAAATGATTTATAGTTCTATTGGCATGCCCTGACTTGAAATGTTAATGGGAGTCAAATCCACCCTAATTTTAGAACTCCCAAAAGTCTGAATAGTATCTATTAATTTTGTCTCTCACTCTTTACAATTGAATACAGTGGCTAAACACCCTATATATGACCCACAATATTCAATAAATAAGAAACAACTATAACTGGACAATATTCAATATTCTGGGTTTGTTGCATCCTAAAAGGTTGTTAGGCACCAAAATTACCCTAATATTTACCCTAATCTTTTATTTTTATTTATTTTTATTTTTGGTTCTATCTTCATGATTAAATACAAATAGCGACCATGGACAATGGAACAAAAAATAGACTAATTTGGAAATTTACTTGACAAATAGTCTTACACTCAAGGAAATGCAACTTGCCCTCACTAAGACCAATCAGCTATTTTTCTTTTTTGTTGAAAATAAAAACAAATAAAAAGGCTGCGATTCATAATGCTTTAAAATGAATACACTGAGAAATCATATACGTCGAAGCAGATATATTTATACTGGGAGGACAATCTTTAGTACTACGTAGATTTTAACTTCAATCCTTTTGAGTCAGTTAATGTAAAGAATATGCGTTTCTCTCAACGATGGTTTTGTGTGTTGCTTCTTCTCTTGAGCATTGCCTTGGACTTGAGTGCAATCGCACGTGGCAATGGTGATTGTGATTTTGGTCGGAAAGGAGCAGTGGCAGGTGAGCAAGAATTAGAGTGCTTCTTTGTAGAACTAAAAAAATTCACCAAAAATATATAGGAGATATATTTCATAAAATCAATGCATATGGAGAGGCAATTTACACACATAAAAATATGTGTGGAAGAAGAGGAATAATATCAATGATAATCTATTACTCAGATCATAAGAACAAGACTCTTAATCCTTCGCTCTTCTCTTTTTTTTTTTTTTTTTCATCACAGTGGGTATCTGGGGCCGAGGACTGGTTACCGTACGCCCCAACTAATCCCACTGCGTGACCGCGAGAGGCTGCCCGACATCATCGGTCAATGGTAACGACTGGGATTCGATCCTTGGTTGGTGGCTCTCACCCAACTGGGCTACAACCACCGGACCGAACCCAGACTGGGCAATCCTTCGCTCTTCTCAACTGACAATAATAATAAGACTCCCTATTTATAAACTACATGACTTAGTAAACAAGCCTTATAACCATAAGAAATTTCCTAATAAAATATTCATTTCTAAACAATGAAACTACCATAACTTGACTCCAATAGATTTACTAAAACCCTAACTTAACTGAAACACTACTAAATAACAATATAAAAAATTTCTAATTTTGAGTCTTGATTTAATATGCCAACATTCTTGGAGCTAATAGAAATTTTGCTGTTGCCTCTAGTGACTTAATTGACTTGAGGCAGGAGCTAGATTTGGTGTAGGATCAAGAGAAAATTGTTTTGGCAATTGACAGGTTATAATGGATTAGAACATATTAGGATTACATACGTTTATAACTTTGAGAGCTACAGGCGCTTATGAACCATTATAGTATTTCATAATTTTGATAAAAGTTTGTCTCTCAATTTAATTCTAATCATATCTCTAAAATTTTAGATATACCTATCCATGAAAAGCAAACAGTCTCATGATCTCATAACATTCGAAAATTGCAGCGTCTTTGATGCAACTATAGTCCAAATAGATTACCAACTTTAATGAACGAGTTACTGCTCCAGCGTTTTTTTTTTTTTTCATTTTTCAATATGTCTTATTGGAATTTTCTGCCGACTATTGTCAAAATAAGAGATGCAGGAGATTTCGCAGCAGTGCCTCAAGTTGATGATTACTTTTTCAAAAGTAATCCACAAATGATTCTACACGCAAAATGTCAAATAAAGACTGCCAATTGATCACTGGTTCTATAGACTGTATATAGTCACCATGCCCCAAAATTAAGGTCAAACAAATACTGGTTAGTTGACTTCAATGAGCGTATTATCCAATGGGAAAGAAAGACAGTTTTCTTCGCCTTTAAGACTGAGTTAATGTTAACTAAATTAGTTGTAAGATATATCTTTAATAAATGCTACGAAGAAATTCTACTTATATAATAATCATGGATAACAGGATAATAGTTTACAACATCTCTCAATACACATAAATCTGCACACACACACACACACACACAATTTTGACGAATCCATCCTCTTCTATGTAATAATGTTAATGCCATTTCCTTCAATCACTTTCCATTGACTTTATAAACCAAAAACCTCCCGAACCACAAGTTCCGAGCTTAGTTCTCAACTAGTAGTTGTCTTTAATCTCTTTGACTACTTGAGCCATTTTAGCCGTCAAGAGTAACATCTTTTACAACTTAAAATTGCGTTAGTTGTTTTCCACAACCATAATTGTTGTCTAAGGGACAATTTTACGTGAAATTACAACTCCGAGAGTTATAGAAAATTCCCTTTGTAAAGAAAAAAAATTATTAGCACAACCATTGCAAAGTTTGTAATTCAATTAAAAGGTACATTTGAAAAAGAAATGATGCCGAAGTGATAGCTCTAGAGTATCATATGTCAAAATCCCCCAAAAAGCAAAAAAAAAAAAAAAAAAAGTGTCTTAACCAACAAGAATGTTGTGTGTCATGGCCATTCTTCCTATTATTTTGCAAGCACAATTTGGATATATAATTGGAGATGTTGCCAGAATTGGAGAAAATACTGAAATCGTGTCAGAAAATCTCCACCAGAAATACGGGCCATTTTGGCCATCCCTAGTCGTCTCAAGACACGTAATGCATCGTTGTTCAACAATGGAGTTGTAATCAGCAATGTAGGACTCTATGCAAAGACTGCTGCCTTCTCAATGATCTCAGCGCCAAGGACAAGAGCAAGAAAAGGGAAAAAAAAATATTACTACTTGCACGTTGTAGCATGGTAAAATACTTGATGTCGTGGCTTATCATGAGTCCATCACAAGCAGATATGCAGGTGGCTAATAAATTTGGTTGCTGTGCAAGCAAAGCTCTAAATATTTGTGCCAAGTGGGTTGAAATTAACTTGCGCAATTTGAAAGGTAATATGCAAGTTATGTCTGTAAAAAACAAGAAGTTGTATTCTTACACTTGAATGCATGAGAAACACCGACTCAGTAATACTTTTCCTTTTTTTTTTTTGTCAACAGATTTGAAAATATGCTCCAAAGATGCATCAGAGATTGACTTTGATGGTCACTTCATTAATTAATGGCTCCCGCCATATCTCCCCAACGGCTGTGACGCGTTGAGTAAGAATTTTTAATGCTTACATTAACGGTGTATTGACAATCTTGGCACTTTCGCTAGTAAGGTGAAGCCTATATAAATGCCAAGTCTTGGGGTGCAATAGAGCACGCCAAATTGAACTG